TGTGGAGCATCCCCCCCCCCCGCCCCGCCCCATGGGTGATTTCTCATTTTCTCTATCACTGTGTCTGCCTCTGTCTCTGTCTCTCTCTGGTGCGCACACATACCCTAAGGCAGAAACCTCTACGAAAATAAAAACTAACAGAAAACTTGACTTTCACACTGAAGAATTTCAGGAACTAGCTGAGCAGGAGGGGTCTGGGCCAGGAATGTTAGGCAGTGGGCGGAACTTGCACAAAGATCTTAAAGATGGAAGGAGGCTTGGTACAAATGGGGAAATGGCAGCAACCTGGAGAACCAGGCGAGAGGGGCAGTTGTGAGGCCGGACACCTGGTCCACCCTTGTTTGACTATGAGTTCAGAGACCCATTCTCAGCTCTCTGAGAAGATGTGCATGGGTGGATGAACAATTACACTACTACCTAGCACTTACGTAGGATTTCTTATGTTTGTACATCTATTTATTCCTCCCATGAGTAAGAGACCGAGATAGCAATCTGTTAAGGGTCCTGACACCACAGTCTACCCTCCAGTCAGCCCCAGAGCATGAACACATGGTTGTACTCAGGGAGGTCTGTAGTCTTGAACTTGGAACCTTCCCATATGGGTCAGCCTTGCAAAGCATTGTTTTTAGTTTTTTTTTTTTTTCTTCCATAGGGTGCTCATACTCTCCAGAGAGAGAAAGAGAGGGAAAGTGAGAAAATCACCCCCCAAGGGGGATGGCTATGACACAAACACTTCTCTAGGGATTTGGGGCACTCACACACGTGCCCAGTGGTTTTCAGGCTACCAGGTCCAGGCCTTGGACAGTACAGTAAGCTATCTGGGATGCACCACCTTAACCTCCACACCGCCTGCTGGCCCACAGAGCGTTTTACCTCTGCGACACCATCTGGCTTTCCCCTTATGTAGCATTTGTTTGATGAGCACTGTTTGAAATTTTAAAAAATAATTATTTTTTATTTATTAGTATTTAAATTTGCTATAGGGTACATGTGCTCAACAGAGAGAGACAGAGAAAGTGACAAAGCAAGCGACCAGTTTAAAACTCAAACCACAGTCGGCCACGTGGGAGTCCAGTGCCTCAGTCACCATGGCACCGCTGGCCCCCACTGTTCGAAATGTTAACTCCTTTAAATCCCATCAGGTATGGATAATACAACTGTGCGCCTTAAAACAGATAACGTGAGTCTAGAGACACGGGCTTATGCGGCTTATGTGAGGTCACCCAGTGGAGGGTCTGGAGGGACTCATAATTAGGAGAGTGTCCGCAGGAGACTGCACCTTATACTCCAGGGAGGCGGACGACTGGAACTTTACCTTTTCTTTTTAGGGATCAGTGAGCCGAGCCCCCCAGCCCCTTTTGGGAGATAACTATCCCGAGTTTATTACAATTTAGGTGGGTGCCAAAGAAAAACGACAAAACCCACCAGTCCGTAAGTTCAAAGGGAGCGTCAGGATGAGAAGAGGCAAATTCAGCAAACGACGGGAAACAGAATTTACCCTACATAGAGGCACTGGCTGTAACCCTGTTCCCAGCCACATTCCCGGGACTGGGGTCCTGTCAGTTCCAAACACACGGAGCCGCTGCTCACTACGAAGTTTTATTCTTTATATAAACCAACACTTTAAAAAAGTAAATAGTTAATAAATAACAGGTAAACCAGTTGGTTTTACCCACGCCTCCCATCAAGGTCCAGGCTAGGCGACTCAGGGGAACCTGGAGGAGATGGAGAGGGTGTGGCCACAGCATGGCTCAAGGGCGTGGCCTGGGCTGGGGAGGAAGCCAGGGTATCCGGAGGGGCAGGTGGGGGAGCCAGAGAAGCGGGTGGGTTCCTGAGGCGCGTCCAGGCTCTGGCCCGGGCTGCAGGGGTGAGGTAGGGGCCCAGCTCCTCCTGGGCCTGGGCAATGCGGCGGGCAAATCGGCTGCGATCTCGCGCAAACTCCTCCCAGGGACCGCGGCGGGCAGCCTGGGCCGGACCGGCCCAGACAGTCAGGAAGTGGACGGTGACCTTCTCAGAGAAGCGCACCTGAGGATCCAGACACAAGATGCACGTGGCCACAGGAATCCAGATTGGGGAAGGAGTGGGGAAGAAAACCAAACAAAACTTAGTGTCACAAAATGCTAGATGGCTAGTCAGCTGCCTATCAGTCATCGCGGTTCTCTCCTGACTCACAGGGAGACGTGGATTCCCCGGGCTCCCCCTCCCCCGCCTCCCCCGGGGCCCAGCTCTTGCAGAGGATTGCAGGACCGACTACCTGGCCCTCCCTGCAGAGTTCTCCTGCAATCCTCTGCAACCCGCTGCCTCCTGGCCGCCTGGCCTGGGAGCCCCAGGCCCCAGCCCTCCCCGCCCCTCCCTGAGACTCAAGAATCAGCACTCACCTTTCTGGCTTTCAGTGGAGTCTCAGGGTCTGGATCCCAGGTCCGGGGCTCTGAGAACCTGAGCCGTCTCTGCAGGCGGCCAGGCAGCTTAGGAGGAGTCCAGGGAGGTGGTGGCTTCTGTCCAGGTAAATAGAAAGCCACTCGGAAATGGCAGGGTTCAGCCTCTCCCCATTCCTCGGCAGCCTCCTCTTCCTCTGTCTCCTCTCCAGGATGGTCTAGCCAGCCCCTGAGGGCATGCTGGGCCTGAAGAGAGGGTCCCAGGGCCCAGTCAGCTGCTCCTGAATCATCTCCTTTGTTGTCGTTGTTGTGGTCCTCCTCCTCCTCCTGCTCCTCCTCCTCCTCTTCCTCCTCCGTGTCCTCTCCAGGCCGATACACCCAGGCCTTCAAGAAGGCACCTGCGGTGGGGGCGGAAGAGGACACCTCAGCTTCTCCGTCTTCCTCAGCCCATTCTGATTCACTGTCCTCCTCCTCCTCCTCCTCCTCCTCCTCCTCC